CCGAGGGGGAGGCCCGGTATCGGCGGCGGGAAGGGGCTCCAGTGCGGCGGCCCTGCGGCGGGGCGGCACTTCCCCTGGTGTCTTGCGGCGCGGATCCAAAAACTCTTTTTTTTTTTTAAATATATATTGCCTCGTCCGGTCTCTTATAGCTGCTTCGCAGCTTAGTCCTCCCGGGTAGCCTGTCTTTTCAAAAGTGTTCGCATGTGCCATGTGCGACCTGGAGTGCTTTTCCTGAGGTCTTGCTCTTGGGGTGGATGCCAAAGGAAAATGAATGACCAAAGCACAGCTCTGCTATGACAGAGCCATTAAGAAAAGTATATGTGTCTTAGGCTTGTAGATCTGTTTGCTATTTGTATTTCTGAGCGATTAGGATGTTGCTGTTGCGTGCCATGCTCTATGTGACCACAATCATACTTACGATTTTTTTTTTTTTTACTATAATCTTATCTATTATACTTGGTTATTGCTACTGCGTGAAATATGCTTAAAAGGCTTTTCCTAATTCCTTGTGAGTTTTTTTTTTAAGTGCTTGTACAGAAGCACCAAGCTTTCAGGTATGCTAGTGGCATAGAGATTGCTGATGCCCTGGCAGGAGCAAAGCAGTACAGTACGATGATACCAAAGCTTTTGTAAGAGGATTTCTTCTGAAAATTGCTGGTAAAATGAAAAGTAAGGAAAAAAAGCATATTAAGAGGAGGAGAGTGAGAAACTTGATTAAAATTATTGAAGATTGTAATGACTGTTGCTATGTCGGTCACTATGTGAGGAGTTACTTCTGTTAGAATAGTTTCCCCAAGATCTTATGAAGGACTTGCTTTAAATTGAAAAGATTCTTAAGATGAAGTTGCAGGAAGCAATCAGGATACTGGTGTTTGGGGCTATTTTTGATAGGTGTCTTTCTTTGAGAATATTATTGAGAATAATACCTCTCCGGTGGTAAATTTGCCTCAGAGTTAACTAGGGACTGCTAAAGTAAAGATTGTTGAAGGTAATTCCTTGCATGTATTTCATTTAAAACTCACACAAAAGCTGTTGGTATAACAGATATAACAATAAACGTCCCCCCACTTTTTTCAAGGGAAACAGGAAAAAATATTTGCCCGCAATTTTAGTCCAATTATGTAACGCGCTGATGGAGGAAACAGCTTACAGAGTTTGACTGTAAACCCAGATGTCTTTAATCTGGTGAAGAAGAACTTGATGCGCTTAGTGGCACAGGTCAGGGTGTCATGCCAGTGCACATTTGCACAGTGGAGCAATTTATCTGCTCTCAGAAAATGTTTATAGCTTTTAGCTAAAGTAAGCTAAATTGGTGTCTATGCATTTATTCTGAAAGGTTGTGGGATTTGAGTTGTTAGGAAAACTTCTCTGTGAATTTTTCACAGGATTCTTGTATTTGCTCTTAAAAACAGGATGTGAAAAGGTTTAGTGTTACATTGAAGTTGTATTTGTTTTTATTCTCTAAAACAATTACACAGCTCATCCTAGTGAGTATTGCACAAAAGGTGCATTTTTTACAGTTATTCCAAGCAAGTCTGTGTGGGTGTTGCTGCCTCCTCTCATTACAGGACCTTTATTCACCTTCCTTGAACTTGCAGTAGGGCTTATGCAGTTGGATGGAGCGCCAGATCAATGAGGAGATCCAGTTAAAAACTCACCTGACCTTTTTGTTTTGCTTTTTTATTGGCTCTGCTAGGTTGTGTGGTACCTCTGATCGTGAGGCCTGGTGGAGTTGGTGCTGGGGCAGAGAAGGGGGGAAATGAAGAGGCAAGAGTGGTAGGACGCAGGTCTGCTTGTTCCTTTTGTGTTCCTGTAGTGCAGTTCTGGTTAAGTGCAGAAGCTGAAGTTCTCCATCTCTGTTGACATAAATTAGATCTGTGCTGAATGTAGGCATGGTTATAGCAGAATTGTCATACCTGCTCGCTTCCATTTCCCTAATGTTACTCTGATAGGTTATGTTTGCATTAAAATACTCTTTAGAACGTGTGCCCCTGCTGAATGGGTTGTATTGCGTGACTTGGATGAAACCACGTTCTTAAACAAGGCAGTTAAGTTTCAAGGATGTACTAATTCATTTTTTTTCCTTCTTTCCTGGAACAGATTGTAAAAATACTTATGATATGAAGGCAAAATCTTAAGTATTAGATCATTTCTTCATCAGCACTGTTTGAAATGTTGAATGAGAGATTAATAGTAGCCAAATGGCTATAAAGTCTTTAGAAATAAATGGTTTGTCATGTCCTTTTATTTTTTATTAAAAGCTAGGTTGGTGTCTTAACACTGCAGCTAAAGTTATTGGGGAAAAGTAATTCTCTGCAAGACTGTGTTTGTCTTTGTACCAGAGCTTTGTAGTTCTTAAAAGAAATGATTTTGTAGCTTTGTACACTGGATCTGTGCTAACAGCAGTTAGACTGCCTAGCTTTTCTTACAATCTAATTGCATATGCAATTATGTATTTGTGTGTGTATGTGAATATATGTGCAGTTATGTGTATTATTAAACGAGCTAAGCTACTTGCACTTCTTGAAAGGAATACTTATTTTGTATTTTTTATCTCTAACAACATTGTTAATGATACTTATGCCAATGCTAGAAATAAAAGTGAACAATCTATACTTAAAGTTTTTTTATTATTATTTTTACAGTGTGTCATTCTGTGGATTATAGAGTAGCAAAATTAAAGACAAAACACTTTTTTTTTTCTAGAAACTATAGTGTGTGGCATGTTATTCTTGCTAAACTATTTTAACTTTTAGTAAAGAAAGTAAAAATACTCTTACTGAGGTCTCTTTTTTTGTATTGTGTCTGCAAGTATCCCCCATTTTCATTATCTTAATACTGAAATAAATGTGAAGTTTTTGGCTTATGGTATGTAGCTTTGGATCTCTAGTATCACAGAGATAAAGGCATGGGCATGCAGTGACTTTAAAAATAAATAAGTCTATGTTCTTACTGTTACATTTGGGGCTTAGTTTCCTAAAACAGACTTGTAGTTTTATTTAATGAGTGTGTCATTATTATTTCAGAGCTTTTGTACACCAACTGATTTTCATGTACCTTTTATTTTTTAACCTGTTTCTTTTAGATTCCCTATACTGACAGTTTGTCATGGCTACAGGAGGTAGCCCCTTTGAGGAAGGCATGAATGATCAGGACTTGCCTAGCTGGAGCAATGAGAGCCTTGATGACCGGCTGAACAACACGGTACAACTCTTAACTTCCGGTTGCCAGGTTATACTGTAGTCTGCTGTATGTGCTGTATACTGAATTAACAGGTGGTTTGTGTTAGTTGTGGACAACAGTGTGAAAATCAGAATATTGTCAGTACAGCTTTGCATGATAGTGTCCAAAAAGACAAAATAATTAAGTAGAGCTAAACAAGAAATGTATATAACTGAGAGGTGTTTGTCTACAGATCTGTTTATGGAGAAGTGTTTTGGGATGAATTAAGGTAGATACAGAGGCACTGTAGGTGTCATAGAATTGAAAACAAATTTATTTAAAATAAACTTTGTGTTTTAAAAGTTCTAAACTACTTAGTCTTCCGCAAGGCAGAAAAATACAATTTAAGATTAATTTGAAATTGATGAAATGCTTCATAAGATAAAATAGGTTAAGTATTCCCTAACTAGCTGTTTTTAATGGGTACAGTGGAAAAAATGGTATCCTGTAATGTGACATTTGCTCTCGACAACTTCAGTCATGGTTTTAGCTCATATTTTTGTATCTCTTTACTTAGAAAATAGAAATAAGTTCCCTTTCACTGAATTGAACATCTGGGGTGTTTGTTTTAAATCTCTGCATGGCTAACAAATGTGACTTCTTTTTTTTTTTTTTTTTTTTTTTTTTTCCTTTTCTCTCCTTCTGCATAAGGATTGGGGAAGTCAACAGAAGAAAGCAAACAGGCCTTCAGAAAAAAATAAGAAAAAACTTGGCTGTGAAGCAGAAACGAGGCTTACTAATGATATATCTCCAGAGTCCTCACTTGGTATGGGTCGGCGAAAGACCAGGACTCCGCATAGTTTTCCTCACACTAGATATATGACCCAGATGTCTGTTCCAGAGCAGGCTGAGCTAGAAAGACTGAAACAAAGAATAAACTTCAGTGATCTTGATCAGGTTTGTGTGCATACTAGCTCACATTATAAATGTCTATCTCTTAATAATTATACAGTCCACTAAGGAAAGCTTAAGCTATTAAGATAAAAAGCCTAAAAGCATGGTGGGAACATGTAAAGTTCAGGACCCTGAGCTCTAGCACTTCTCTGGAGATAAAGCTTGTTCAGCCTTCCCTTCTCCACATCAGTGGAAAGTATGAGGGACTAATTCTGGTAACAAGCAGTGGACTTGTGTTAACAATTTCAGAATAGAAACTTGTTAATCATTGCCAAAGTTTTATGTTAAAACTGCTTTGGGCCATGAAGCTATTTCAAATGTGACCCGTTGCTTTGACTTACAGGGTAAGGGCTGAACCTTTACTGATACTCATAAAAATCCTTCAGAAATGTGTATTATGGCAAAAATATGGCTACTCAAAGGTTTTTTTGAGTAAAAGAAACTTCTGAGGAAGTGAGAGATGTATGACAAAGGTGACCAGTGCTAAGTTTAGCCAGCTTTTGGCTAGTCAGTGAATAGTCAAATAACTTTGTGATCAGTCTAGCAGTACAGCAGAACAGGTAATTCTAGTAGTGAAGCTAATCAGAATTGAGAATATATTGAGTAAAAAATTATAACAATTGTTTTTGGCCTTGTTTGTTTATAGAGAAGCATTGGAAGTGATTCTCAAGGCAGGGCAACGGCTGCTAACAACAAACGTCAACTTAATGAAAACAGAAAGCCCTTTAACTTCCTATCACTGCAAATAAACACGAACAACAGCAAAGATCCCTCCTCAGGTTCCCAAAAAAAGGAGTCCGGGGGATCACTGCAATGTAAAGAGTTATTTGGAGCTGCTCTAAGCAAGGATTTCTTGCAAAATTGTCAGATCTCTAATCAAGAAGATGGAAGAGGGGAGCCAGCTATGGATAGCAGCCAGGTATTAATGTAGCCTATTAGTCTATGGAATGGGACCTTTACTGTTACTTGTCAATGCATCTTTCTATATTTTCAGGAAATGTGACTCTTACAATTCTTATTTGCAAATACATATCTTCCCACTGCTCTAAAAAGCCAACTCTTATTGAGGAAAATACAAAGCTGCAGTTAGGAATGTATTGTTCTTGGTCTAATAATATTGGATGTCTATTTCCTGGTGAAAGAATGAAATACTTTTGTCTTAGAGGTTGGTTTTATTATATAGTTCCAGAAAATATTTTTATATTTTAATATTTTTGTATGTTGATAATGCGAGCTCAGTTCTATTTTAGCATATGTGGACAAGAAGCGCCATGCTTCAGCCTAGCAACTTTATGCATGCACGAATCTAGCCTTATAAAGCTTGTTGATTTTTAACTGCTTCCTGAAGTCTGACTGTAGGATGAAAGGTACTAGTATGTCATCCTTTTATGAATAATTTGCTGTTGCTATCGCCATGTTTTGTGCCTAAGTTAATGCTAGAGCTGAATGCATTTAGTAATTTCGGTGTCTTTACAGATTGTGAGCAGACTAGTTCAGATTCGCGACTATATTGCTAAGGCCAGCTCCATGCGGGATGATCTTGTAGAGAAAAATGAAAGATCGGCCAATGTTGAGCGTTTATCACATCTTATAGATCACCTTAAAGAGCAGGAGAAATCCTATCTGAAATTTTTGCAAAAGATGCTTGTAAGTTTGGGAATATAATACATTTGTTTCTCACTATGAGTTTTCCTTTTTTTAAAGGAGTTGACCATTGATGTGTTGGTGGTGCTACTGGGGGTGTTGGTTTTTGAGATACAGTACCTTCCATGATTCATTTTTGCTGCCCCATTTACATAGCTTTTGATTTATGCCCCTGAAATATTTCAGGCTAGAGAAAATGAGGAGGAGGATGTTCGGACTATAGATTCAGCTGTGGGATCTGGTTCTATAGCTGAGAGCACATCACTAAACATTGATGTGCGGTCTGAGGCTTCAGATACGGTAAGCTGCCTTTCGGTAATTAAGGTGCTGAAATGAAGACTTGTTTGTTTCTTACCCCCTTCCCAATTGATGTGACAATGATGTAATCCACAGTTCAGCTCAAAAATAGTAAATTACTGTACCTTCTGTCCTTCTATGCTGCGTGTAGGTGCAGTTTTTTGTTGTCGATAGTTATTGCTACAGGAGCTTTTTCTGAAAACAAAACAAAAAACCATTTCTTGATTTTTTAAAAAAAAAATTGTCTAATTTTTCTTCCAAACAAAATGGAGGTTTGTATGTGTACTTTCCCAGAGGGATGCAGTGGATTGATGTAGAAAGGAATAGTTTACTATATAGTTTTCTGATTTATTGGCTTGTTTCTCTTAGCGGGAAAACTTGCTGGTTCTGCATGAGGAGAGGGTGGGAAATTAGTTGTTGGTGGGCCAGTGATCAAGTACTGATCTAGTAATATGGTGGACGTGTTGCTGGTGGGCTATTGATCAAGTAGTGATCTAGTTTTATGGTGGAAGGATGACCTAACACAGAAGTTGCTCTTCTTTGGAGAATGGGTGCCAGTCAGAAGGAAGGTTCTGAATTAGATGCACAGGCTTGTTTCCTCACTGTGAGAGACTTTGCAAAAATGTTGTAAACAATTGTTGTGGAGTATGTAGAAGCATAACATATTCTTTAGAACTTCCAATTCTACTTTTGCACCGAGGAAAAATAATAGTGAGCCAATACTCAGGTTGCCAGTTAGTGCTGTGGATGTTTTACGTATAATAAGTACTTTGGTGCTTGGAAATAAAGTAGTATTTAAAATATTAAGCTATTATCATAAATATATTTCCTTTTCTAAGAAGCTGTTCTTCCTGTAAAGAAATAAAACTGTAGACATGGAAGATCTAACTTTTTCAAATTTTTGTAAAGGCTAGTATGGAGTGGTAGCCATATAAACTTGAACTTGCTTTTTTCTTTTTTTATTTAATTTCTCCAAAAATGGTTTTAGTTTTCTATTTGGCTCTTAATTTTACAGCTAATGTCTTGCTTTTTTCAGGCTGCTTTAATGTATTAAATATAGAATGAAAACTACTCTTAAAACATTGATTGCTAGTTGAGCCTTATTGTTACATTGTTACAAAGTTCTAAGAACAAATACCAAAAATAACACCTTTACTCATGTAGGTTTTATTTGATAGAAATTGTACTTTACAGTGTATGATGAGGTGTTAGTGGTTAGGTTTTTAGCTTAAGAATGCACACTGAATTGGAGCACACATTCAAAAGCTCACATACTAAACTATTTAATAAAGGAAGGAGCTTTTATCTTGAGCATGCGGCCTCACATTGAGGACAAACTAGGAACTTCAGCTTCACAAGAACAGGTTACAGAGATTGATGTTACAGCAAGCCCTAAAAGAAAAGTGACAGAGCTGCTGTGAATGACAGGGAAATCTGACCTAGGAGGACTAATACCAAGAGCATGGGTTGCCTTTAAAGGTACACTTCAAAATATTATTTTGGCCTCAAAAATAGGTTTTATGCCCTCTGATTTTCTCTCTCTCTCTCTCTCTCTCTTTTTTTTTTTTTTTTTTTTTTTTAAGCTTTTCTGATCTAACCTGCTTAACATATTTGTTAAAATGAATGTTTCCTTCTGGCCTGCTTATCTGTATCCAGCTCTTTCTATTGAATGAATCTTCTCTAATTAGAGTTGTTTTGAAGTATGCGGATTATTTCTAAATAAGGTGCAGCTGATGCTTCAGAAGAGACGGGTTGTAATTGACAGAGAAAGTTTTACATCTGACTCTGTACAGCAGTCTGACTTGATGTAGTGGCAGATGACCTTTCTGTTTTTTGCTATTCTCTTTTTGGAAAAATGTCTTTTAAATTGTTTTTCTGGACCGATAACAAGTTCTCACTAATAGTTTGCTAAAGCAAATTTATGCCAGTATGGTATGGAGAAACTAAATTCGGAAACTGTTGGGTTGCTTTGACTTGTACTACCTTTTTTTCTTTGTAGAACTGTTTGTATAAAATAAATTTAAAAAATCCCTGTTTAGATGCAGGGAGGCTATGGGGCTGGCGAGTATAAAAGTTTTTTGCATATAGCTTTTCCATGGCCTTGTTTTTTATTTTGACAAAAAAGTCAGAGTCATTTTATTCGTAAAAAAAAAAAAATAATAATAATAATCAAATGCTTTGATCTTTTGTTGAGCTTATTAGTCTAAAGTAGAAGTAGACTTGAAAAAATAGGTGTTTGTTTGATGAATTTAAGAAAATCTGTTATGTCAGATAAAGGTGTGATTCTTAAATCTGAGAGAGACTTGGGAATACATCCCTCTCTCTCTTTCCTCCCTTCATTCCTTCCTGTGATTATTTCATTGTGTGTAGTGCTTTGCATCTACTCTGCTTTCTATATACAAGATGAAAAATTTAACCAGAATATGCAGTGCCAGTTGCAGTGCATGTTTTAAAGCCCTGTTCCTGAGAAGTTTAAAATTCTGCTGGAAAGCTGAGAGTTCCCTCATATCCAGCTAGGTGATGTCTGCTGCTTTTCTGATGTTCAATATGGAATGTGGTTTGGCTTGAAAGAATTTTGTACCTCCTGAGCGAATGTACCTTATGGAGGAACGATGATACATTTTCAAGTTAGTGTTCTTTTTGTTAGGAATTGTTAATTATTTAAAAACACATTTTTTCATGTTTTTATCTGTGGAATATTGTAATTCAAACTGGATCAGGTTCCTAAATATTTCTGTGAAATATCTGCAATTAATTTGCTGCCCATACCTGAATAAATTTTTTGAGGCAACTCTCTAGCCATTAATTGTGAAGGGAAAGTATGTGGAAGATAGCTTTTGACACTGAATTGTTAGTCTATGGAGTTCTAGCATACGTGGCAAAAATGTACATTTGCATCTGCACGCTACATTATAGGTGAGAAAAGAATAGCTGCCCAAAACTTTGTTGAAAAGCTAGAAACTTTAGATTAGTAAGTCATTCTAAAGCTTGTCTAATATGTAGCACCATGATAACCATATGCTATGTTGTTTAGCTATAGCAGTGGTATAGCTTACTGTGCTCTTATGTGAATATGCAATTGGGAGGACAGAGAGATGCATGAGGTTGTCATTTTTATATGATAGGGTAAATGCCTGGAATTCTACCTAATTCCTGGGTGTGGTAAGCATGTGTTAGTGGTAACAGGCCATAACAGAACATATAATTTGTTTTTTACCTTTTCACACTTAACAGCCCATGCTTTATTAAAGTGCTTTATTTAAATCTTGTTTTTTCACTAATACTTATCAAATAAAATGCCATAATTATGATAATCTTCTTGCATCTCTTTCAGGCCAGAGATCCTCAACAGGAAGCAAAAGAGGAGCTGGAGAACTTGAAGAAGCAACATGATTTATTGAAAAGGATGTTACAACAGCAGGAGCAATTGAAGGCTCTTCAAGGAAGACAGGCAGCTCTTCTTGCTCTCCAGCACAAAGCAGAACAAGCAATTGCTGTCATGGATGATTCTGGTAGGTAGTATGACAATATATTTTGATAGATAGGTTAGCATGCTGATTAAATGATTAAAGCTGGAATTGTCAATTAAAAGAAGTCATTTTACTTTTTTTTTTTTTTCTTTTTTCCTTACAAGGCTTCTGTTTATGTAAAGAATTGACAACATAACATTGCAGAATGACTTGTGGCAGACTAAAACCATGCAGTTGAATCTCCATTTCAATGTTTAAAAAGATTCTCTCATTTTCCTTGCTCCAGTGATTTCCCTGGCCCGCCCACCCCCCACCACCCCCCCACCATGTATCAACTCAAGGATGGGAAAGAATATGGAACTAGTTAACAAAATGGTAGAGTTGACTGTGGGAGAAAAAGCAGAGGAGTTGGCAGAGAACCTGTAGGAAACTGCGACAGATGCAAAGGAAGCTGCTGCCTTTGAGAAATGCGCTTCTGTGCTTCCTTCTCAAATGACTTCCAGTAACTGCTTTTCTCTTGTGTTCTTTGTAGTAGAAGACCTGTGATGGAATCTTCTTCATCCCCTTTCCCCAAATATAGAAAACACATCCCTGTCTTGATAAATTGGGTAGAAAATGTGCTCATTTAGTAAACTAGGACTTCATTTACATTTTCTTCAATGTTCTTTTTTGTCACAACTTCATGGGTATCACTCTTGATAGGAGGGTAGGAAATATACAGAAATTAATTCAGCAAAATTGAATGAATTCAGAGCAAAATATTTCACTAAATAAGCATTGGATCTAAGCTTAGACCTGAAGCTCAGAAACAAGAAATAAGCTTTTTTGTTTTAATTTTTTTTTGAAATAAAATTACTTTATTTTTGCTGTTCTTAGCTTGTCTCTAGTCAAGAAGAGTGTATCAGTTTGAGGGTGATTTAGGCTGGTAGTCTAAAGTTGCTTGGGAGGACACAACATTACAATATAATTGCTGTTGCCTTATGTATTGCATATATTGCAATATGTTAATGTTTTTAAACCAGACACTTTCATTTAATAGGCTTCATTTCATTGCCATAGACAAGTATTTACATTATTTTTCTACTTTTCTCAATTGCCAGTTGTAACAGAGACCACTGGCAGTGTTTCTGGAGTAAGTCTCACATCAGAACTGAATGAAGAATTAAATGACTTAATACAGCGCTTTCACAACCAGCTTCATGATTCTCAGGTCAGTATTAGTACTGTACAAGATGTTTCCACAAGCTTTCACCAGTATTCTTTTTCTTTCCTTTTTTTTTTTCCTTTTAATTTTTACTTTTGTTTTTACTCTTGAACACTGCAGTTAAATGTTCATGTCCTCATTTACATGAATTTGTTGTTGGAGTAATTAAGGCTCTTTAAAACCATGAAAGCTTAGCATGTTTGTGTTCTTAGAGGTTATTGTTATAATTGGGATATTCTTAGAATGCTTTCAACACCTGTTCAATTTATAGAAGTTCCGTGTTCTGCTTTTGAGCCTAGCAGGTCTAGAAGAGGGTTTCTTTTTCTTTACATTTCATTTAACTTTCAGAAGAAGGTAACTAAGAAACTTTTTACAGTACTCTGAATAAAAATGAAATTATTCTTTTTTAGACACAGTCAGTGCCAGATAATAGAAGGCAAGCAGAAAGTCTTTCACTTACCAGAGAGATTTCACAAAGTAGGAATTCTTCAACATCAGAACGTCTGTCAGATGAGAAGGTACAGCTTTTTAACAAGATGCGGATGTTGCAGGGTAAAAGGCAAGAATTGGACAAATTGTTAGGAGAACTTCATACACTTCGTGACCAGCATCTAAATAACTCCTCTTGTAAGTAAATATAGGCAGAATTGTATATTTTTAAGAATGTAACTCGTAACCAGTTAATGATTTATCACTAACTACTTAGCTGGTGAAAAAGTTGTGCTAAGGCAATATTATTTAACTGCTCTTAATCAATTATATTTCTTGTCTGCAGTTTTTCCTGCATCAGGTTCTCCTCAGAGAAGCATTGATCAAGGAAGTACAGCGTCAGCTGCTTCTGCTCCTGCAGGCATAGTGACTGTTGTCAACGGTGAATCCAACAGCCTGGCGTCGTCGGCTCCCTATCCTCCCGATTGCCTCACTTCTCAGAATGAGAGTGAAGAAGAGGAAAATCTAAACCCAACAGAAAAGCTCCAGTAAAGTGTTTTAATTATCTGATCTTTTTTTTTCTTTTTTAAAGCAAGCTCTTTGTCTTAAGGATGTTCTGTATTTAATCTGCTTAATTTAGTATTATGTTCTGTTAAATTCTTTTAGACGGTAGACATCAAGCATAAGGTTTTCGCATTGAAATGACAATTTTCAAGGATTATAGGTGATATATATATTTCAACTTAGAGATGCAGTTAATACAGCAAAACATATAGCATGTTCTTTTTTCAGGAAACTAAATGAAGTTCGTAAGAGGCTGAACGAGCTGCGTGAGTTAGTTCACTACTATGAGCAAACATCTGATATGATGACAGATGCTGTGAATGAAAACACTAAGGAAGAGGAAGAAACAGAAGAATCTGAAAGTGATTCCGAACATGAGGATCCACAGCCTGTTACAAATATTAGGTTATTGTATTGTTTTTGTCATCTTAAATTTTGGTAGCCAAATCGTCACAGGTTTTCTAAAGCAGTTTTAGTCAACCAGTTTTAAATTAATATGATCATTATGTTAACTTTCTGAAATTTTTATTTAAAGTAACTCTTTTATACAGATGATTATTTGTAGTCTTGTTCTTGGTAGCTTGTACACAAATGTAGATTTACTTGAACATGTAGAAGATCGTTACAAAGGTCTTCTAAATCTTTTAACTGCTTTATATGTAAACAGTGAACTGTGTATAGAACTCCATTAGAAGAATAACAGGTTTAGGCTATAGAACTGCAATGAAAGAAACTTCAGTTTAGAGCAGCTTGCTGAGATGTAGTTTTATAATGAGACTGCTCTGTGCATTCATGATCTTCACTGTGCAGAAATGAGTTGTAATTTTGCTGTGACCGATGTACAGCTTGTGTAACAGACATGCCTTTTTTAAACTGAATAACTGTTTGTAGAGCTAGCAGGGAAGTACTCCACAATAGTGAAAAGAATACTGAAGTGATGCATATTGAGAAATTTTGAATGCCTTAACCCATTCTCAAGAGAATTTTATGAGGTTTTTTTAAAAAAAAAGCATTGTAAAGACATTTCCATAGCAGCCAATGAAATATTTTTAAAATAGATTTTAAATTATTTGAAAATAAAGGAAGTCATTAGTATTGGTTCTTAAAAAGTTAACGTCAGTTGTATGCTTTACCCTAGAAACCCTCAGGGAATCAGTAGCTGGAGTGAAATGAATAGCAACTCAAATATACAATGTGGTGCTAATAACAGAGATGGAAGGCATCTTAATACTGACTGCGAAATAAATAACCGATCTGCTGCTAATATAAGGACTCTCAAAGTATCTTCCACTCTAGGTATGTTCTAAAATCTTACAATTTCAAGTATTAATATGTTTGCTTATAATTCTGATAGCCATGCAAAGTCTGGGAGAACCTTCTCTGACAAGCAAAATGTTCAAATATTCAGTAGTCTAAACAGGTCTCTCTCTATCAGAGAATCTGATAATTCTCTGGAGTCTGGTAATTGCAGATGGCATGTTTAATTCAGGGACTTTAGTCAGTTGTGTTGTGTGACATTGGTAATACTTGTTTTCTTGTTTTTTTTTTTTTTTCTCCCCATCTTTCTTTTTTCCCTCTCCTCTAGACTGTCATAATAGGGAGGATGACAAAGGTGTTGACCTCCCCCAAGGTGAAGATGATGAAGTTGAGGAAGATAGAGCTAGTGAAGATTCTGTGTCTAGCCACAGAAGCAGCCTGGGGGATGCTGCTGGAGATGCTGAGTTTGAGCAGAAGATTAGTAGACTTATAGCTGCGAAACAGAAACTTAGACAGCTGCAAAACCTGGCTGCCATGGTGCAGGTATTCTGTAAATATAAGTCTGTGCACAAAAATGTTTATTCTTTAGTACATGTATTTTTTTTATATATGTGTAATACTAAATTTACATGAGAAAATGTAAAATTACTTTTTAGTAATTTTAATAGAGAAATTTTAATAAAGAAAAATTTCTGTCTAATCCTCAAAATGCTTATTATGAGTGGGAAGGGAAAATACTGTTTTATTTGTATGAAGTTGAAATTAATTTTTTTGGTACTGAAATCTGGATTCTTTGTAAAGGTTACCAGCTTAAGAGTAATTTTAATACTAAAAGACAACACTGAATTACCAAAACTTTCCCAGTAAGCCTAATATTTTTCAATCAATCTTGATCTGTGTGGTATTGTGTTTTTTTTTTTTTTTAAAGCTTTTAATGAGTACTCCTGTTTCTGTTGGTGAGAAAAAAGTTTTAAAGCTTTCCCTAAGGTACTTGAGGGGCAGCTATGAACTGGCAGTGTTTTCATAATGTCTCACAATAGTTTTCATGGTGTTTCTAAATAACAGTTTTTCTTGAATTTGATGTCCTCACAGAAAGCATCTATGTAGGTTTTTATATATTTTGGGTACGTATGGAATCCGCAGAAGTGACCAGTTTATATCAAAGAACTCTCAAGTCCATTTCAATTAAAATGTTTGCTTGGGTAATGGCTACAGTACAGGCCCTGTATAGTTATATATTGTATATGATTATACTGCGATCAAAAATTTCTTGGCATTTGTGTCGGACTTAGTAGACAGGATCACTGTGAAAATGCTATCTGTACAATAATGAAAAAAAAAAAGAAATGATGGAAATGCCTTTTTCTTCCCTTCAATTCATGCTATACCTTCCTTCACGTTTACTAGGTTAGCAGCTTTACATAGTAGCAATAATATGATGGGTATATATAGCTTTTTATATACATCTTCGCTGGTGATCCTTCCCATTCACTGGTTTCTCTATTAAGAAATGTCATTTGTGAAAACAACACAAGCAGCAGCTACAGCTTTAGTATTTTCAGTTTAAATGGTGAATTAAAAATACAAAACCATCAAAATTAAGAAAAAAATACAGAACCGTGTTTTAAAAAACTTAAATGCTTGTAAGAGCAGTCTGGTTTCTATTCTATCTGTGTGGGGGGTTTTATTATTATTATTGATTTCCAAGACTGAGGTAACAAAACAGTCTTGTTGCTCACCTTATGTTATCTTTTTTTCTTCTTTTCTCCCCTTTTCTTTTTTGTTATGCCTGTGTTTCTATCTATTCAGTGAAGTGGTTCATGCTCAGAGTGAATGAGAACTTAATTTTATACTAGAGTTTTCAGTAGTTTAAATTTCAAATTATAAATTGAGAAGTCATCGTGAAATTAATCTGAAATAAAGATTAAGGTCTTCAGGCTCAGATAAATCTTCTAAAGTAAATGAAAATTACTTGAGAAATTAAACTGGTGTGGCAACTGGAGAATATTTTGACTGCTCCTCTCTTCAGGATGATGATCTGGAACCTCAAACAGCAGTTGCCAACACAGCTAATAGGGGTGACTTGTTTTCGGATGACACGGAGGAGACAAAGCAACAACCAAACAATACCCGGGCAGGTGCCAACAAGCTACGAAAAGATGTAGGACTGAATGAAAAAGCAAGGTATGCTTTTCTCCAACAATATGAAAATCATGACTTTATGAAATTTCTTGCTAGGTGATATGCAATTATCTTTTATTTACAGAGAGAAATTTTATGAAGCTAAGCTACAGCAGCAGCAACAGGAGCTTAAACAGTTACAAGAAGAAAGAAAACGACTGATTGAAATTCAGGAAAAAATTCAAACGTTGCAAAAAGCTTGTCCTGACCTTCAAGTAGGTAGAATTTCTTTGCTACCTTAAGCTAATGAGCAGTACAAAGTCAAGTATCTTTAATAACAGGATTTTTTTTCCTAATTATGAAAAGTAACTGGTGTTCAGGATACACAATTGGTAGTTCTTATTTTACGTACTGTGAGATGATGGATTTCCAAGGCTGGACAAGAACTCTGATTATTTCGTCTGTCTTGGCCTCCTCAGTCTTTGCTCAGGTTTCTGTACAAGCTCATAGTTCTAGTATAGCATGTCTTAAAAAGTTGCATGGTCCTGGTTTAAACTCTTCAAGGATGGAGAACTGTCCATCTTATTTTTTAGCTTAAATATTTTCTGTCCATATCTAGTCATTTCATTGTCATCTGGATTAATCAGTGTCTGGATTTCTTCCCATAAATGTGTGCTTGAGGATCATGTTGAGTAACATCCTAGCTTGAAAGCTCCTGGTTATTTGCCTTATAACTATATATACATGTTGCTTAGAATGTGTTCCCATCCAAAGTCTGTTTCTTCAAAATTATACTAATGGATGATTGTGGAATATGTCATTATAAAACACAGTTATATATTTATAAAATATACAAATAGTTTAAATTATGTTCACAGATAGTTTTGTGCCGCTCTTCAATAGTCTTTAGCTTTATGGGACAAAATGCTTTTTGTTCTCAGTGTTACTGGTGAACCTGTGTTATCAGTGGCTTGTCTAAGGAAAATTATTCAGGGTATGTTTCTTTACAATCATATTGTATTCAAAATGACTGCAGTATTGTTCTTGGTAGTCTTTGCAGACAAACTTACATCATAAGGTGAGCTATAAATGGCCAGTAGTGTGTGTCTGTAGCATTCTGTAATACTAACTTATTTCAGAGCTTATATTTTTATAAGTATTTGATATTAATTTTAAGATCCTTCTTGCTGAATGCCAGCTCTGCCGTCTCAATAAGTTGTAAATATGTTGGGCATTAACAGTGCTTAGGTTTTAGGAAGTTACTCCGCTTTGCTTTTGGGTTTTCTCTTTCAGTTGTCAGCTGGTTTTGGTAACTGCCCAGCAAATAGACAAATTTCACCAACAACTTCAACTCCAGCCATGAACGAGTGTCATGGGGCTGCCAAGCCCCTACTTGAACTGGATGAATCTGTGCCAGTTGGCAATGAGGTACTTGATACTGTTTCATGCTAGCGATTTTCTGTGGCTTAGAAAAGGCTTATAGAGAAAAGTTCTAGATACCTTAAGCTTATTTTTATTTAGTATTCTGTATTTTTGAAGGGCAGTGGAAGCCATTTTCATGTGATGTGTGTAACTTTTGTTTTACTCTGGGAAGAAATAAATATTGAGTTAAAATGGCAAGATTGCTAGTCCCAAAATTAAATGTGCTGGTACATACTGATGCACATGAAAAAAACCTAAAACCAACTTGGATTATTATGAAAAGATAGCTATTGGATTTTTGTTGGAAAGCTGCTTAGCTGCCTCATAACTGTCTAGTTCACTCAACTTCATGCTTCAGTACATTGTCTCTTTTCTTAACATCTGCATCTTCCCATCTGGCACATTTTCTGTTATATGTCATACTGTTACTTTACACCTTCACACTTTCGTAAGAAGAGTCTTAGCATTTGTGCTTTCGCTGTGTTTAAAGTAGATAACGAGTCTCCCTG